TAGGGAGTGATGTGACTGAATATATACTTTGATCTCAGTCCCCTCCTTCCTTCTCCTAACTCCCCTCTAATCTCCTCCTGTCAGCAAGAGTAAGGTGGAGAAGGATGCAGAGTGTATCCACAAAGCAAATAGAAGATACTTGAAACCATAGGAAAAAGTGCAAACGAGCAGTGTGAATTTGAACAAGTCTCTTCTCTAGACATTAATCTCTCCTTCTTTTTGGAATATCGATAACAAGAGCTACAGAATTGGCGGGAAAATTAACTAATTCATGAAAGAATGTTTAGCAAAGCACTTGGCATCTAGTACAAGTTTTAAATCTACCAGCTCTCATTGATGCCAGCATTATTATTATTATTATAATTACTATCACAGTCCATTCTTGGGCACAAATTCACTTCGAACAATCCTGCCAGCAAGACCACATCTTCCTGAGAATGACTTTGTCCATGAACCTTGGCTTGTGAGAAACACCTTCTTGCCTGATTATCCAGGTGATCAAGGCTGAATCCCTGCCTTCTTGCCTTTCAGATCCCCTATCACTGGGTTCCACTGACCATTATTGCTTCCCTGAAAAACATTGCCTTACTGGACTACTCACTGATGAGCAGTGCTACCCCTATTAAATATTTGTATTAGTCATTCTCATACTGCTATAAGGAAATAATCTATAAAGTGTGATTTATAAAGGAAAGAGGTTTAAATTGACTCACAATCTGCATAGCTGAGGAGGCCTCAGGAAACTTACAATCATGGGAAGCAAACACATCCTTCTTCACATGGAGACAGGAGAGAGAAGTGCTGAGCAAAGGGGGAAAACCTCCTTACAAAACTATGAGAACTCATGAGAACTCACTCACCATCATGAAAATAGCAGCATGAGGGTGATCACCCCCATGATTCAATTATCTCTCACTGGGTCTCTCCCATGACTACAATTCAAGATGAGATTTGAGTGGGGACACAGCCAAATCATATCATTCTACCCCTGGCCCCTTCCAAATCTCATGTCCTTCTCACATTTAAAAACACAGTCATGTCTTCCCAACAGTCCTCCAAAGTCTTAGCTCATTCCAGCATTAACCCCAAAGTCCAATTCCAAGAGCTCATTTGAGACAAGGCAAGTCCCTTCTGTCTATGAGCCTGTAAAATCAAAAGCAAGTTAGTTACTTCCTAGATACAATGGGGGTACAGCCATTCATAAATGCACCTGTTGCAAATGTGAGAAATTGGCCAAAACAAAGGGGTTATAGACCCCATGAAAGTCTAAAATCAGATAGGGAAGTCATTAAACCTTAAAGTTCCAAAATGATCTCCTTTGACTCCATGTCTCACATCCACATCACACTGATGAAAGAGGTGGGCTCCCATGGCCTCGGGCAGCTCCACCCTTGTGGTTTTGTAGGGTACAGTGCCCCTCCCAGCTGCTTTTGTGGGTTGCCATTGAGTGTCTGAGGCTTTTCCAGGTGCATGGTGCAAGCTGTTGGTGGATCTCCCATTCTGGGGTCTGGAGGATGGTGGCTTTCTTCTCACAGCTCCACTAGACAGTGCTCCAGTGGGGACATTGTGTGGGGGCTCCAACCACACATTTCCCTTCTAGCAGAGGTTCTCCATGAGGGCTTCACCCAGCAGCACATCTCCACCTGGACATCCATGCATTTCCATACATCCTTTGAAATCTATGTGGAGGTTCCCAAACCTCAATTCTTGCCTACTGTGTACCCACAGGACCAAAACCACGTGGAAAATTCCAAGGCTTGGGACATGCAATCTCTGAAGCAATGGCCTGAACTGTACCTTGGCCCCTTGTAGCCACTGCTGGAACAGCTAGATGCGGGGGCCGAGGCTGCACACAGCAGGGAAATCCTGGACCCAGCCCAGGAAATCATTTGTCCTTCCTATGTATCTGGGCCTGTCATGGGAGGGGTTGCCTCAAAAGTCTGTGACATACCCTGGAGACATTTTCCCCATCGTTTTGGCAATTAGCATTTGACTCCTTGTTACTTATGCAAATTTCTGCAACCAGCTTGAATTTCTTCTTAGAAAAATTTTTTTTCTACTACATCATCAGACTGCAAATTTTTCAAACTTTTATGCTCTGTCACCTCTTGAATGCTTTGTTGCTTAGAAATTTCTTCTGCCAGATACCCTAAATCATCTATCTCAAGTTCAAAGTTCAGCAGATCTCTAGGGCATGGGCAAAATGCCGCCAGTCTCTTTTTTAAAGCGTAGTAAGAGGCATCTTTGCTCCAGTTGCTAACAAGTTACTCATTTCCATCTGAGACCATCTGCACCTGGATTTCATTGTCCAAATCACTCTCTGCTTTTTGGTCAAAGCCACCCAACTAGGAAGTTCCAAACTTTCCCATATCTTCCTGTCTTCTGAGCCCTTCAAATCTCTCGGAAATTCCAAACTTTTCCACATTTTTCTATCTTCTTTTGAACTCTCTAAACTATTCCATCCTATGCTTGTTAACCAGTTCCAAAGTGGCTTCCACATTTTCAGGTATCCTTATAGCAGCACCCAACTCCTGGTACCAATTTACTGTATTAATCCATTCTCACACTGCTATAAGGACATACCCAAGACTAGGTAATTTATAAAGGAAAAAAGTTTGATTGACTCACAGTTCTGCATGGCTGGAGAGGCCCCAGGAAACTTGCAATCATAGTGCAAGGACAAGCAAACACATCCCTCCTCACAAGGCAGCAGGAGAGAGAAGTGCCAAGCAATTAGGGAAAAGCCACTTATAAAACCATCAGATCTCATGAGAACTCACTATCACAAAACAGCAGCATGGAGGTAACTGCTCCCATGATTCAATTACCTCCCACTGGGTCCCTCCCAGGACACATAGGGATTATGGGAACTACAATTCAAGATGAGATTTTGGTGGGGGCGCAGTGAAACCATATCAGTATTACAGTCTTCTTACCACAAGGGTAGAATAGAGATAGAGATGGGCTTAGTCCCTGGGTTTTAGACCTTTTAACTCCATGTCTTTATTCTTAACTGACTACAGTTGATATAATTATATTCCATGCTATGACAAGGAAAAGAGTTTTATTTTTAATGCCTTGGTATTATTCTGAATCATATGCATTACTGTAGCATTTAAGAGTGACATTTAGAGAATGAAAGGATGCACCATTAGGAATTATGAGTCTGTACACAAATGAATACAAATGCAAACATGAAATGCCTTGGTCATTCCCTGTTTCCTTTCTGAGTCTATGGTTTATGGGAGAAAGCTTCATTGCTCACAGAAACCATTTTGGAAGGATCATAACCAATTGCATAAAAGTTTTTGACAGTCAAAACATATTAGGTGATTGTTGACCATAACTTACTGAAAATATGAAAGTAAGTGAAGCAAAACTGAGACTAGGGGATTACTCTGAGGCTCTGAACACCAACAATTTAGTTGAATCCAGTAATTTACTGTTGCCAACTTAGTATGGCTCTCTGAAGCACTTTAAGCTCTACTGCTTGCCGGAGTGGTCAGTTGGTGGGTGAAATGGGTTTTTTTTGTTTTTGTTGTTTTATTTTCTAACAGGTTTAGATTGTTTTTTTCCTGGCAACGAGGTTCTAATATTGCTTCTTTTGAACCCTCAAAACCCTACTCTTCTGCCCAGCTTGAGGTGTCAGGGAATGATACGGAAAATAATATTATTTTTACTCTAGAACTGTGCCCAAAAATCAGGTAGAAAGACTTGCTTTGTTTTCTCAAGGGCTGGAAATCACTGCCATAGGAATGAAAAAAGGGTGAACTGGATAGAGTAAGATATCCATCTCTTAAGTTGGGCATCTGTAAAATACCTAAATGGACGTAATTTACACTCCAGGATTTCTCAGCCTGATTTAATTTTTTGTGCTGTAAATGGCAGGCTTGGTGTGATATATTGGATATAATCTCTGTGGAAGGTAAAATTTTAAGATTGTAATTGGGAGGACATGAATTACAATTTCTGTAATAATGGGCAATCAGAAGATGTGACATCCTCAGTCAGTGCTGCTGATTCCTGGACGAAGGCCCTGCCCGTGTCTTTGCAAAGCCTCACATATGGTGTTTGAAGTACACTGACCAAAAAAAAAAAAAGAATAATTATGAGTGGTATTGATGCTGGTGCTGTGATTAACAGTGATACAAAATCCTTTGAAAAAATATAAAATGGCATAATTTAAAGTTACTTCCGTATCATAAAAACAGCATGGAGGAATAAATGAATCTAAGCATTCAAACCCAAAGGAAAATAGCTATCTCAGCCATTTATCAGGAAATTGAATGAATTCTGTAATCTTTCTTCGATCAGTTGATTGGGGGTTTTAGGAAATGGCGTAATCACTTGAAAGTGGTAGGATTCCCCTAGATGCACACAGAAGTGCTGCTCACAGTGTCCTAGACAAAACGTAGAATCTAGTGGTGGGGAAAGGTTTTCCAAGACCATGAAACTTGTCCTTCATTATGTTGTGCAGCACCTAAGCACTAATTAGCTGTGAGATCTTGGACCATTTACTTAGCCTTAATCTTCAAATGTAAAATAAGAGGTTTGAGAAAAATGATCTTATATACTCTTATGATGATTAAATTATGAGATCCCAGGTAGATACCTGACTTCCTCTGGAATGGAAGGGCAGTCAAATGAGCAGGTGTTTATTATCACATTTCTTTTTTCTTTTCTTTTTCTTTTTCTTTTTATTTATTTATTTATTTTTGAGATGGAGTCTCGCCTGTTGCCCAGGTTGGAGTGCAGGGGTGCGATCTCGGCTCACTGCAGCCTCTGCCTCCCAAGTTCCAGCAATTCTCTTGCCTCAGCCTCCTTGGTAGCTGGGATTACAGGCACACGCCACCATGCCCAGCTAATTTTTGTGTTTTTAGTAGACACGGGGTTTCTCATGTTGGCCAGACTGGTCTCAAACTTCTGACCTCAGGTGATCTGTCCACCTCGGCATCCCAAAGTGCTAGGATTACAGATGTGAGCCACTGCACCCACCCCGACCTATTATCATATTTCTAATTTTGATTATTATATGTTGTATTTTTGTTTGGCAATGTGATTGACAATTTTAATACCTTGGTTTCTTCAAGAGCTAAAAAATAATTCTTCCTAGAAAGTTATATTATTATCAGTTTCAAATAAAACATATAAAGCATGCCAAGTATTACTGTAATATACTTTTCCCAAGCCACTTGTTCCTGCTCTTCCTCCTCCTCCTTCTCTTAGTTATTTCTTTCTTTCATATCACTCATTAACTTGCCTGAATTGTCTACTCACAATTCGATGCTCATAAAAGAAATAAGTGACTTTTACATAACCAAAGATGCTTGATTCTAACCCCTATGTAACTAAGCTTTAGACCCCATTATACCAACACCAAAGGCACTCAACCCTACAATGACCCTTATCAACTTACCTACTTATCTACTACAGCCTTTGAGGTATGTCCTAAACTTAGACACCCATTCAATGTAGGTACTCTATACCGTACTATAATTATTTGTCCGACTAGATGGTTTTTCTTGAAGAACTTGAATACAAAGAATAGAGAGACTCAGAAGACATAGCAGCACAGAAGAAAAGTCACGAAGAGTTTTCAGTAAACAAGAGCCATAATACAGGAATAACTGCAAAAACAGAAGTCAGTTAGCTCAAGTCTCAGTCAATAGTGGAAACAGAAGTAGAGAAAGAATTACATAGAGAGATTGAAACTGAGTTGCAGGAATAATTTACTACCGGAATTGTTGTTGTGCATCCAGAGTAGCTTGAATTCTTGTTGAGTTCCAGTTCTCCATGCGACCTGATTATGTACATGCTGAGGCCTTTTTCAATGTTTCCTGGTTCTTCTGTGTGAATCCTGATCAAAACTAACATTATCTGGAAAAACAACAACAACAACAACAACAACAACTTGTGTACCTTTTGGTTCTTTGCCACCTTAAAGAGCCTAATATAAGGAAGTGTCAGTAAAATTAGCCTGTGGTTTCTGGTTCAAAATGGGCTTATTCCTGAATGTGCAAAAGCATTTCAGTAAGGGTAGGCAGAAGGGAATTACAGTAAAGCTTAGACACGTGAACCTATTTTGTTTTGTATTTCAGGTTTTAGTAAAGGGATAAGTAGTCAAGGAATCTGAACCTAAAAGTTTACATGAGGTGAGTATCTATAAACTGCATGTATCCATATTATCTCTGTTCATGATTTGCAGGGATAGTCAAGGTTGAGGCGTAATAAGATTATTTTGTAAATAGAATTTGGTTAATGTTATTATTACCTTCGTGAATCCCTGGTATCAGCAGTATAGTTTATCATTCCCTACCAGAGAATAGTATAAATTAGACTGCAGAATGCTTATTCTGTCTGCTAGTCATTGAAGTATTTATCAGTGTGCTAATTAGAGTCCTGTTTATGAGGCTGAAAGAGCTCAGGGCCAATTTCTCACATAGCTCCTGTTGATGGGCACAGTTTCCAGAGAAGCATGGTTACATCTGGTGTGCATGTTGTAGCTCAGCATTGATATTTTATTCATTTCATAGCTAGCAGCAGTTTTTCAGGCTATCTGTCTGAAACAGTGGATTCAGTAGAAACAGCAATGTAGCTATGATATGCTCTGTTCTATCAAGTGGAAAACTTTAAAGGAAAACCTGTGTGATTTGAATATCCTTGTAAATCGTGTTTAATGCACCTTTAAATTAAAGGAGAAGAGTTGATTACAGAAACAATAGCGCTTAATACAAATCTCTTCCCGGTCTGATGCAAAGTAAGCCTCATGTGATGTCATGAGAATGAAGCCATAATCGTAGGGCCAATTCAAGAACCAAGGAGAGCAGAATAATATTTTAATCCATGGAAAAAAGGGCAGTGCCTTCTCCACTCTGATTTAGTTTGTCAGTCAGGCAATAGAACATTTACACACTTACTTGTTTTGGTCAGCATGACTGTGAATTTGAGGGTGAACATACTTTCTTTTTTTCAGTCCATCTATTCCTATGTTTAAATTGAGATCCAAAACAGGAGATACTAAGATCATGCATTCCTCACAGAAAAAAACTGACTAATTTTCATTGTCCATAGGTCCAGTTGAGATGCAAGTTTAGCTGCTGATCAATTTCATTCATTTAGAAAAACAGGTGCCTCTAGGTGAATTCAAACATCTTTAAAGGGACAATGCTATTTATCCAAATTATTACTCTATCAAAGGTATGACTAGTTTATGACAGTATCTTGTCCACAGCCATCAACACTGTGGTCCCTAAATGACCCACCCAACTATATTATCGACACAGTTCACAGCAGTGTCCTGCGACTTACATGAAGGATGAAAAAACATTTGAAAAGCCTGAAGTCATCCTCAAAATGTTACCTGCTTGATAGACATAGTAGACATTGATAAAAATGTCTACTATGTTGACATTTTCTGGTGTTGAAAGCCAAGAAAATATTTTATAACTCTGCCCTTCTATTTTCAACATCTCATCTGGAAAAGCAAGTTAGGTCTAGAGAGAACCATAAAATATTGGGGTAGAGTTAGGATGCAGAAAATGAGAAGAATGGTCACTGATAAAATGTTCTTTTGTTCTGTGATGACTTTTCTTCTTACTCTGAATATTAGACTGGCCAGGTCAGGTTAATACAGGTTGCCATCAAATGGCAAAAAGAGAAAAGAAAAGTCAGTGAGCTATGTATGCACTTTGTTGCAGTTGCTGAATGACGGTGGGGATTTGTTATGGGACTTTGTGAAACACTTCAGATTTTGGTCCACAGTGATGCTTTTGGTTTCGGGAGAAACTTTGTTTCTCCCTCCATCTTTTATCCATGACCTACACCTAACACTTATATCCTAGTGAATTCTGGTAAAAATAAATATCAAAGGAATACACAGCTTAAGAGAAATACATTTTAAAAAAGAGAAGGAGGCATCAAAGTCAACCTCTGTCCCCTATGGGTTCGGGGATTTTTATGAAATTCAGCTACTGTTCTATTTTTTGTTCCCGTATTTTTTTAACTGCAGCTTAGTATTAGTAAATACATCTACAGAGAAAAAGACAATATTTCCTCTCATGAATTAGCACCTATCTTGCAAAAGATGTTCTACTTAGCATTGTAGAGAAAACGGCAACCTGTTTCTTGCCCAGGCCTCTCAGATTATGTTGTGAATGAAAAACTAAGGTAGAAGGATGAATGTGAGTATGTTCTAGAAAATAGAAAACAGGTGAGGGAGAGATTGATTCTCATCTAAGAGATCTGAGAAAGCTAAATTAAACAAAATTTAGGGTGGAATTTGTGATTCTAGCATTTTGGGAGGCTGAGTCAGGTGGATTAATTGAGCCCAGGAGTTGGAGACTAGCCTGGGCAACATGGCAAAACCGTATCTCTACAAATATAATATATAAAGTAAGCCAAGCGTGGTGGTACATACCTGTGGTCCCAGCCAGTTAGGAGGCTGAGGTGGGAGAATAACCGGAGTCCAGGAAATCGAGGCTATAGTGAGACATGATCGTGCCACTGCACTCCAGCGTAGGTGAAGAGTACGACCCTGTCTCAAAAATAAATAAATAGAAATAAAGGAAGAATTTGGGGGGTAGAAACAGTGAGAAAGAGGAACCTTTTGGTAGAGAGAGGAGACATATGAAAAACTCCTCAATCAATATTCGTCCGATTAACTAAAGAGTTGACTAGCTACATAAGTCAAGAAAAATTAGAACAAATTCAAGGAATGGCATCTTTTTGCATGCTGGAGAATAAGATGCTGGAGACATCTGAGGAAAATATTAGAAGATGAGGTAATAACAAAAGACAATGGCTACATTCAATAGAACATTATTCACTGTACTGAGGGGCCATGGAAGTGTTTTGAGTAAAGTTATAATCTGAAAATATAGGTTTTAAAAGGTACCTCTACCAACACCATTAAGAATGGATTAGGAGGTGTAATGACTAGTAGGTAGAATATCAGTTAATTAGTTACTATAGTTCTGGTAAGTTTCAATAAAATGTTTAAAATTCTATGGTGTGCTGTAGTTTGCAAAGTTCTCACACACAGCAAAATTCAAAGTTTGCTCATTTGAATAGTACCTGATTTAGGGGAGAAGGGCAAGACTGAAAATAAAGCACAGATGTGAGAGATATTGTAGAGACTGAATTGAAGTATCTGTCTGCTGTTTAAACAAGGACGATACAAAAGCTATCAAAAGACATCAGTCTTAGCTGAGAACCACTTATCATCATCACCACCAACAATATATTGAGGACATCCTGAGTGTCAGGCCCCGTTCTGAGATGATCACCTTCAATTCTCACAACTGCGTGTAGTCATTCCGTTTTAGAGATGAGGAAACTGGGCATTAAAAAAGATGAGGAAATTCGTTCAAAATCACACTACTGGTAAGTGACAGAGTCAAGATTTGTTTGGATTTGAAACTGTCAACCACTTTAACATTGAGTGCCTTCTGTAATACTGGTGAGTGACAGGCATGGAAACAATCTGTTTATATTTTCCTGATTTGGTGCAAGAAATAGGGGTCTTACAAAAAGTTTTAATTTGACTTTTTAAGTTATTCATTATTTGATTCAAGATAGACAGTACTTTATTTTAAACTGTTAGCCAGAAGCTTGTCAGATTTGATTACAATGGCAACAGATCCCACTTAAAGAAACTTGGCAATCTCTTACCACACTAGATTTTAAACATGATGGCGGGCAAATAATGGGAAGCTTTTCTGCCAAGGTGCTGCAGCATCATGATAAAATCACCTTCACTCTCAGAAACCGTTATATCCAAAATCCTCAAGGCTTGAGTGACACTTTCCTCTTACCACCCATACACATATGATAATATTTGCATTCTCAAAGTTATTGTTATGCAGTCACAAAATGTATTTCCAACATGTCTCACTTTTAGCAATCCTGTATCAACTACTGTAGATTTCTTTTGGAGCCCAACTTAAATCTTTCAGGCCCCAGGGATCACTTAATAGGTTACTGCTTCAATGCGCTAAGTGGGCCCTTGGTGGCATGAAGCAATTAATGAGTTGTCCAGAAATGCCTGGTAATAGCTTAAATCAAGAATACAAATGAAGCTCTCATTTGCTACATCTTCTACAATGTATTTTCATGTAAGTGTAAATGTGCACTATCTGATGGTTTCGCTATGATTTCTTTCTATGCTGTGCTTGAAATCACAGTACAACTAGTACACATTTCTTTTTCTCTATGTACTTCTTTTAATTATATGATTATACACTCTCCAGAGAGGTTGTATTGGAAATGACCTGTGGAAAGAAATGTTTAAAGGTGCAAAGTCATACTATTATGAGAATGTAGAATTCTTAGTTCAAATGAGAGGGCCATTTAGTCACAAATATTTTTAAAAAATAATAAGTATCCATGCGCAAAGTAACCATTATTATGTTTCTTATCTTGTCTTTCCCTTATATGGCACATTACTTTATTTTATTCATAAATTTGTCCTGAAGTACAGGAGAAAATACAACAACAGGCTGTATTAAAACGATTTCTTTCCAGAGAAAGCACTGACATGGGAAAAATCTATTTAAAGAGCATTGTCTCTTTGGTTAAGCAGGAAATGAATTTGCTACAAAGGGCCGTGGAACCCTGCTCTGATAGAATTGAAGGTAATTAAAATCTAATGGTAGAATCTAACCATTTAAATTGCAATTTAAATTGGTCAAATAGGATTGATATCAGAATATTTGACAACTTTAAAATGGGACTATAAGAGATTCACTGTGTGCATATGAAATATTTTCCTTACTCTGGATTGAAATTAACATTGCATGGAAGAAATGAAATAGTTTTTACATTTATATGACTTTTCATTAGTCTAAAAAGAGAGTTGTGAGCATTTTTATTTTATAATACATCATGATAAAGAACAATTGGCAGTAAATTAAAAGCTTTCAATAACAAATGAGAGATGATTAGGTATTTGCTGTTTATGAGATCTTATTATTTTAGCATGTTTACTTTATTATATAAAGTCTGAAGATGAGAATTTTCTATTATCAAATTACATTTATTGCTGGTTTAACTTAAGGCTGCGTGGTTAGGAACAATTTTTCTCTTCCTAAGTGTGGAAAACTTAAAGTTGCAATGCATATGTTTCCACATGTGATTTTACTATTTTTATTAAAATGTTAATATATTAAAGTGGTTTGACACATGAAGTCAAGGTAAAGCTAATTTTGCTTTTTACAGGAATTAATAAAACACAACGACAAAGACTAATGGAAGTTAAGAGAGATTATGATTTGCCTAAATGAATAATTCTTCCAAGTTTCTGCTCAACACTGTTTTTTAAAATTATTTTAAGTTTAGGGTGACATGTGCAGGTTTGTTTCATAGGTAAACTTGCATCATGGGAGCTTGTAGCAAAGATTATTTTGTTACTCAGGTATCAATCCTAGTACCCATTTGCTATTTTTCCTGATCTTCTCCCTCCTCCCACCCTCCACTGTCCAACAGTCCCCACGGTGTGTTGCTCGCCTCTATGTGTTCATGTGTTCTCAACATTTAGCTCCCACTTTTCTAGTACATCACTAATTCTTACCTTTTGCACATTATATAAGGCCCTAGGTACAACTATTCTTAGTACCACACCAAACACCAGATGTCCAGTGTTTTAGAGGATACGATCCACTGCATCTACATCTGTCAGACTCCATCTTCTATCAGAGGACCACGGAGAAAGTTTTCAGGCCTTATTGGCCACATACAACCTACATCTCTGAATAGGGCTAGGAATTGAAATACACTGGTAGAAGAATGGCTAGCTAAAGTGCTAACAATAAAAGACAGATGTAGGTAAAATCAATTTTATTTTATATGTCAACAGCTTTGTTCTTCATTAAAATTGTTTCTAAATAAGGATTTTAGGAGGGGGGTTGTAATGCATTTATACAAACAATTCTCTCCTACACCCCCCAAACACACATACAGGCACATTTTAAGAACTTTAGTTTACTGAGAATTTTGTATCTCAAGGAAATGTGTGCTTAACTCATAGTAAAAGACTCCAACACTACATAAAGTAACCACATAATTTTAAGTGAAATCATTATTTCAAAAGGGAAACATAGGGAGGAAATAAAGTTCTAACAGCAAGAAGAAAACCTGGTTCTCCATCCATTAGCTTCATTGAAATTATAGACAAGCAGATGTTCTTGAAAGACAATATATTGATGTATTTTCCCATAGAAACAATGTTAAAATTGAGAGTTCTATTCTTGACAGGAGATTTGGCATAAAAGTAAGCCTAGCTTAGGCCAACGATGTCATAAAAAAACCCATAAAATTCTTCCATATATTTAATAGTAAAATTATGCTCAGAGCCCAATAAAATGAGCATAAATATCCTATACACATTGATTATACAAGAGGGCACTCTATGCTATAAAGTATACATGCTTCACATAAATAAAATTATACTATACTATAAATTAAAAGTACTTAAAATTAATATGTTAGCTATAATAAAGATTGAATATTTAATTAACAATATTTTTGCTTGCCTTCTTAGAAATTTTATGATTTGAACAGCTTGGGTATCTTAAATTGCTGTCTAAGGAAGATTGAAATAACTTATTTTCTTTGAAAGGTTCCCTGTCTTAACTCACACGATCCAGACTGCAAGAGATGGTGAGACTGCTCAGCAGACTATTGCATAAGAGAAGTAAGCTGAGAATAATCATGGATAAGAACACACAGGCACTAGACCTTCTGGCATTGACCAGCCGTCCAAAAATCAAAATCAGACCTCAGACAGATTTAGACATTACTTGGGCTACTGTAAAATTCCAAAATGGGGAAGAGATGGAAGAGACACAAAAGGGAAATCTTGCAACATTAGTGATACTTTTGGTCAGGAAGCACTGCAGCTCTTGATTCCTCTATATAGCAGGAAATACAGCTGGGGAGCAACTGACAGAGGCAGGGAAAAGGGCTATGGAGATTATCTGAAAAGTGAATAAGTCAAAGATTAGAGCTAAGGTCTAGTCTTGAGAGGTGACAATAACAGACAAGGGTGCTACTTGGTGGATATACACATGTCCGGAGAATTCCCAGAGATCTAATGACAATGGATCTTAGAGGCAGCAAGACAAACTTAAGACCCTATCATCAACCCTGATGGAGGAGGGGTCTCTAACACACAGTCAGGTTTGTCTTTACTGGCTCCAAAGTTGGATCTTCAGTAATCTGCAGTTAGGTGGCCTGGAGTAAGAATTGATCAGCACTTCCCCCAGTAGACAGAAGCTCAGATGTCATCCCGTGACCCTCACATGATGCTCAAAAATTGAGTTCTCATTTTCAGAACAAGAATTTTATTTTATTTTAGTCTATTCAGATGTCTATAATAAAAATGTCATAAACTGGGTGGCTTATAAACAACAGAAATTTATTTTCAAAGTTCTGCAGGCTGGAAAGTCCAAGAGCAAGGCACCTGCAGATTCAGCATCTGGTGAGGGCCCCTTCCTTATAGACCGTGACTTCTGGCTGTGTCTTCACTTGGTGGAAGGG